ACCTGACGAAGAATGTCTTCCTGGACAGTGCTAGAGACGTCTCTGCGTTTGAATTTCGACTTGGGAGGCAGACCGTGCCCTATCAAGTTTTCCTGGGAGGACATTTGCCGCCAAATGCGCAAGAAAAGCTTGGCAAAGGAGTTCAAGGGCACGGCAAAGGAGCCGGTGGGCCTTCGATGTTGCTTCTGCCTTCAATGGCATGTTCGAAGATGTACGAACTGGTATTGTGCCTACCCTCAGAACCTGTAATCGTCCACCAAACTTCTGGCCGGTTGGGTCATGCTTACGTGATCGACTTCCTGCTGATGAACCCGCTGTAAACTGCAAACTCAGATCATCTTTAGCGCGTGCTGAGCTAAGGGCACTGCCCGTGCGAAGTGCACCTTTGTCATGTTCATGCTCAGCACTTGCTTGAACTAGTCGCAGTCCAGCGAGGCGTGGAAGCAGCAGTCTACCACTGGTGGTTCGTAGGTACGGTAAGGACTTTTTGGAAACCGCCCGGAAGCAGCCTGTCAAGGTCAGAGACAGAGGGACTTCCAACACGAACTCTCGCTAGCTTGGTTGGTCTGTGAATTTATGAGCACGAATGCCGGGTACGGGTGAGCAGGGAGGGCTTCCGACACGTGTTGCCCCGTCCATTTCTCAGATTCTCGGCATGGCGGTAATTGGGATCCGGGATTGTTGTTACTTTGAAACGTTGTATGTCAGCCACGAGCGCGTGCTCAGCACTTAGCATGAGAGCCTTCCATTTTGAGTGCAGCTTGAAAACGGACTAGACTGCATGCAGCAATTGCTGCACCTCGTCCTTTGAAGTTGGTGTCGCGATTGAAGTGGTGCTGAGCAAAATGCGGCGAAGTTTAGCCACAAGGTACCTTGGTACAGCCAGCTCCAGTGCCAGTAAAGGAGAGGTGAAAGTTCAATACCGGTAAGCATCCCTTTTTTTCGCACAAGCATTTCGACTGCACTTCGTGCCATCGTTTCAGATGGCTGTAAAAGCTGGAGCTAAAGGAGATTTTGGGGACCTGTTTTGCGGTCGGCTGCACCGTGGACGGCCAGAAGCCGATCGCCCTGCAGGAGGTTTGCAGACCGCTTATTCTTGTTTTCGACGGAGTCCCCGCCCGCCCTGTTGTGGAGGCCATCGACAACGAGGAGTGGGAGCTGCCGACTGAGTGAGCTAGCGATTATCCATGATTTATCCGGCAGGGAGTCTTGTCACGAAGTGACACCCGACGCAAGCCTGAAGGCTTCTTGGGATATCCTTCCTTCCATTCCTTCTGAGTTCCAGCCAGGAGCCACTCTCTTTCCCAGTCCAACGAAGCAAGCTGAGAAGTCAAACGGCGCGAGGCAAAAGAGCGGTTTCTAGGCAAGGGTTCTGCATGCCTCGTGGGGCTTGGGCCGGCAGTGACCAAAACAAAACGTGGCCATGTTGCGTAGATGGTCATGCATAGAGAGGGTAGAAATCAAACCAGACCGGGCGGTGCTGCAACGAACCCTTGAAAGCGGGGATTGACAGCGCTGAAGCCGTGCGCCGCCCGCGGCATGTGGCCAACAGTACGAAGTGCAGCAAAGCTGAGGACCACATTCAAGAGAGAAGAGGAAGCCCCAAACTCCTTGCTTGCTGCAAGACCGAGACAGGGCAAGTTCACATTGTGCGAGCACACTTGGCAGGCTAAAGCCGGATCTGCTGAGTTGCAGCAGCGCCATCACCGCTTGCGCTTCTGAAGGCGATTGTCTGGCCCAATCACTGTGCGCTCTCGGAGCTGCCTGTTCTGCTATGAGTGCTTTAGCGTGTGTCGAGCTAAACCAGCTTCTGTTCCGTCATTGGTGGCCTCGGTAAGCCTACGTAGTATTGCACATGATCCTGACTGCAGGTCTCTGGGCAGAGGCTCTGGAGTTTTTGGCGCGGATCACAGGACTGTTCTGCTGACAGACTTCTGTGCACTGTGCATGACATGCTGCCGGTGACCTGACAGGACATCCAGACGTGCCTGCTATGAATGCTGTCATGACTGCATGTGCAGAGGTGTGGCAATGGGCCGAAATGAGTTTCGAGACTATTCACTGAAGGGTGTGCGTATTGATATATTTTCTGTGTCGCAAGGGTGGTGGGGAGGCCTCAAGCAGAGACGCTCTGTCCAGGCCGGAGAGTGGGAACGGGCCTTCCTACTGTTGCAACAGCCGGAGGCTTATGCCTTCGACATGCCAGACCTTGCGAAACCCACACCGAGACTGGCAAGCTGGTTTCCACAAGGTTTCACCTCCATCACTTGGTTCCAGACGTCGTCAGCTTCAACTCTGTAATGGCGGCCTGCGATCATGGGCAGCAGTGGGCCGTTATCTCAGCTCCACGTGCATGCCATGGCCGCAGCAGCTGACAGCCGACAGATGGAGCTGATGCATCTTTGCAAGACTTTTCCAGGAGATGCTAAGGACTTGGCTCTGTGGCTTTTTGGACAGCTTCGCGCCCATAGCTCAGCATGCGTTTTTCGCCAGCATTCGGAGCAAGGAGTTTGATTGGACTTTGCGTTTCTCACGATCTGAGACCCTGCGCCTGCGGCCGTCTCTTATAAGCTTTAGCTCTGCAGCCAGCGCCTGCGAGAGACTTGGACGCAGGGTTTGGTATTTTGGATAGTGTTGGATCGTGCACATCCGAACTACCCGCAGCTCACAAACCTTTGGGAATTCGTGGGCCCAAGCTCGCTGCACTGAGCGGCCTCGTTCTGCGCCATACAGGCATGCCGAAAACACGTCGCACATGCCAGGAAGGCAAAGCAGTGGACGCAAGCGGTGAGCTTGCTCCTCACCCTTCAGCAGTTCGGGCTGCAAGCCGATGATATCGCTTTCAACACGGCGTCTCGCCTTCAAAAGACCCAGCCGATGACCTCCACTTTTTGCTTCGCCTTTGCGAACGCTGTTGCCAACGGTTTTCAGGTCACAAGCGCGTGTGGCCATGGACAGCAGTGGAAGAAGGCCAGCATCAGCGGCCACCAGCGGCGCAGTAGGGGGTGTTGCCGTCCTGGCTTTGTCGAGGCTCTGGGCATCCTTGGATGCCGCGAGGAATGTGGACTCCCGTGGGCATTGATGACCTGAGCCCTGGCGGCAAGCCGTAAGAGAGCTTGGAAGGATCCTTCTTTGATTGCAATTTCTTTGAAGCCGAGGCAATGCAGCCATCTCTGCATGCGCTGCTGGCCTCGCCACCGGTGTTGCCGTAGCTTTCCTGCGAAGGAGCGGGAAGCTGCACATCGAGAGTTCCTTCAATCGAACACTCGTACAAGATGAGATGGGTGCTGCGGGCACTGTCGGTTTTTCGCAGGAGAAGCAGCAAACCAAGACTTTCGTATCATTTACGTATTGGTGCAATTTGAGTTTGAGTTCAAGCTCAGTCATGACAGGCAACTGAAAGGAAAGCAGTAGCAGCATCTGCCAAAGGTGATAGCGAGACAGAGGCTGAGGACTTGCAGGTCTACTTGAGGGCACGGTTTGTAGCGGAAGTGCTTGCGGCCTTGGCGGCCTCCCACGCGAGCCCGAAAGTCGCGTTGCGAGTTCTGGGGGCCCGAGGCCATCCGTTTCCTCGGAAACCTCCGCGATTCGTTTAGCAGACATACAGCCAGGGTTCCTTTTCTCGTGCTTGTGGAGTTGTCTCTCTGATGTGATCTTCAATGCTGTTCGCAACCGGTTTCAGGGACTCAGCTTCATCTTGGTGTTGCCAGCAACACGCCCAGTGTGCTGGCCACTAGTCAACGATGTGTGGGGAATTTCAATACCAACTGACCCTTGTAACCCTGCAGCCTTTTCGGAGTCGCGCTTTTTCCCTGAACGGAGGCTCCGTGTTGAGCATCTTCATCCCAGTGAAGTCACCTGGAATGCTGTGAGCCCTGGATGATTTGAACTAGTGCCATGACCGTCTCGAGCCCCTTCCAGCGCTGAGACTTGCCTGGCTTGGGTTGCACGGACTCCCCGGCAGTGCAGCAGGCATGTCATGATGCATATTGCTTCACGAGGGCAGGTGATGCTTGCATTCTGTTGCGTTTGCAGCGTGCCACCAGCACGATCTGGACAGAGGGGGGAGTGTTGCATGGAACTAAGTCATGCTTCGGTTTGGCATTTTAGGCGAAGGTGCCGAAGTTCCTTGAACCGAGGATGGAAGCCTGTGGCGATGCGTGGCAGCTGAGCCTGGAGCTGTGCCTTGGCATCCGTCATCCCTCAACAGAGCTGAGGCTAGGGCCGGGGGGGGACCTTCGTTTTCGGCCTGCAAAAAAGGGTGATGACTTCAGGCAAGATTCGTGCGAAAGCAGTTCCTGGTGCTCCCCCCCGACCGCATCCCGCTTTCTTGCGCTGTTAAGGTTAAGGGAGATGCAAGAGGAGCGCTCCGAAGTCAGCATTCTCGCCCTGGCCTCTGCGGTGTCATCACTGCATCGAGGCAGAAGATTTCACGCCTCTAAACGTGTTTCTGCGCTTCTTACCGTGCTTCAGTCGAGAGGCCGTGCAGGCTTCGAGCTGGCCGGCCAGCTTGAGGTGCTTCCGAATTTCTTTGTTTCCCGTGCCTCTAGGGTGCTCATGCACATTCTGATGCGTTTTCTGCAAAAAGTCTGCAGAGTGTGATCCCGCCTGTAGCTTCCCAGCTAAACTTGGCTGAGGAGCTACGTGCCAGCGCCGTTTGCCGAAGTCGGCTGCTTGCTGACTCCCAGTGGATAAATCGACCGCAATGCTAACTTGTATGTTCATCGGAAAGGAGTAGCTCGAGCGAGTTACAGATTGGCAGACTATGGTCAGGTAGTCGGAATGCAATTTTATCCCTCACCCGCATCTCTCAGAGGGTTCGAGCTGGATGGCATACAGCCATGACTGGATCATGACCGGCATAAGGTCTCTGGACGCAGCTTAATGGCCCGAATGTCAGCCACGAGAGCGGTTCCCCAGATTCCGTAGTTGAACTGAGCCTGCAATGGAAAGATGCATGTTGTTGGTGGTAGAGAGATGTATGGGATCGCGGGACAGAGACAGACAGGGACAGGCACGGACTGACAGAGACACAGACAGACAGAGACAGACAGGCAGGGAGGGCAACCTTCCTGCCCACAGCCCTGGCGAAAGACAGACAGACAAAGATTCAGAGACAGACAGACAGAGACTCAGAGAAACAGACAGACAGAGACAGACAGACAGAGTAAAGGCAAATGTATATGAGTGCATATGTACATGAGTGTATGTGTATATGATGAATACGAATATGTATATGACACGCGTATGTACATGTATATGTGCATGTGCATGTGTGTGTGTGTGCATGTGCATGTGATGTGTATGTGTGCGGGTGTAGATACATATGTATGTATGCATGTTACATGCATGCAGCGCGTATCTGCATGTCTACTTTTTTTGGGGTGGTACTGGGATGCACGGATGCGTAGACGGGCGGGGGGATGGGATGGGTCGGCGGATGGATGGATGGATGGGTGGATGCATGGACGGACGGATGGACGGACGGACGGATGGATGGATGGATGGGTAGATGCGCACGCGTGTGTGTGTGTGTGTTCATATGTGTGTTTTATGTATGTGCTTGTAACTCTGCATTGTGCTATTTGATGATTTGTGCACCGCAGTGGGCTCAAGCTCTGCGTCGCACGGCTTGGGCTTCATCCCTTCCGCCATAATGTTTGCTTTTTGGATGGGTCTCCTCGCTGTGCGGGGTGTGCTCTCAGCCCATCTCCGAAGCAATGTGCCGCCTCGGTTTGGCTTAGGATGAAGCAGATGCTGAGGGTTCTCATTTATCAGGGATGTTCCGGTGTTCCTGGCAGGCATCGCACGTATCCGCCACAGCTGGCGGAGGCAGATCCTTTTACCAATCTGAGCCTCAATGCCAATGCGCGCCTTGACTTCGTAGCATGTGGGCATCTGCTAAAGCTCAGGATGCGTCGTTACGTGCTGTCTGAAACCTTCAATCGTTCAGGTGGCAAACAATCCGGCATGGAAGAAGACGGAGCGAACCGAACCCAAATGTATCTTCATCGATCTTGGTGCAGCTGATGGGAACACCTTCGCAAAGTTCCTGGAGAGTCCTGGCCTGCACCTGGAAATTCAAGCATGGCATTTGGCAGTGCTGCTTTTGCCGATGGCGACGGCGTTCAGTCCCATCTAGTACAATCAAATTGTAGTTGTTTTTGGGAAGGAACGACTACGGTCCAGTCAAGAACTGCCCGTCCGGAAAGTGGGAGGCTTTTCTTCTCGAGGTGGCTGTTTAAACTTGTGCAAGAGACCAGCGCTTGAACTGGGGCGATCAAGCGAGACGAGATCCTTTGCCGAGTGCAGGCCAACCCGCAGTTCACCAAGGAGTTGAACTCCTTGCAGGAGAACTTTCCGGGACAGGTGCTCTCTTCTCGAAGATGGGAGCTGCGAGGGCGCTGAGGCACATGCATCAAGATTCTCCGCACGACCGAGGTGCACTCTCTTGCTGAGCATGCTGCTTTCTCGTGTGAGGGCACCACCAGCTTCTTTATCGATGCTGCTCGTCAGGGAATCTGGTTTTTCTCAGCAAAAAGTTTGCCGCACCGGGTTTTGAACGGTCGTAGTACGGCGTAACGCTTGTCTCCATGGATTCCTCAGGCTGACGCCACACACAACCACTGGGGCTCCAGCATGATGTCGGACGCGCCTGATGCCAAGAAGAGCGGGGATGTCAAGGTGACGGTGCCGATGCTCAACGTCGTGCAGCTGCAGCCTGGTGCAGATAATCAGAAGCCACCGTAAAGAGCGGGAACGTCCTGTGCCGGCTAGGCAGTTTGATACTTGCTCTGGACAGGCATCGAGTGAAGCACTACAGAAGCAATGTAAATCTGACCTGGGCTCCTGTCTGATTAGCAGATTTTGACAGCATGAGGATTGCTGAGAATGTGCGGCCGGATGATTGGGTCATGCTGAAAGTCGACGTTGAGGGTGCCGAGTACAACCTCATCCCCTGCCTGGCACAGTTCAGTACCATGCAGCAGTAGTTCACAGTGGTACGTCGCGGTACAGATACCAGCCAGTTGGTGGATTTGTGATGGCTCTCCCAAAATCACAATGCTGAGGTGAGGCAGGCATGGTGGACCGGATGTACTTGGAAGAGCACTGGTGGTTTCCATCCATCACAGCTTCTCGAATGCAATATGGCAGGGTGGCAAAGGTACATTGCATAGCCCCCGAATCTCTACAAGGAAGCTGCCAAATCGGCCCTGGCAGAAGCGAAGAAGCAGCTTGTGGGCAAGCACGTGGACATCCCGAACTACTACTCCGAGACCTGAGTTCCATGTGCCCTAATCCCATAGGCCACGCGCCTGGAACGTAGGCGTCAACTTGGCGTGCCATGAGAAAACAGAAGAGCCTGCAGAGACTTTTCCCATCCATACTGCCTCTCCAGTGACCTGTTGCCCACAGCTTAAAGTTGCAAGCTTCCGATAAGGTGTTTTCGCCATGTGCTCAACAAAGCGGTGGCAAAGCATGCCAACAAAGCTACAGAGTCTGTTCTTGCAGTATCAGGTGAGATGCAGGTCTTTCCAGCAGTATGCAAAAGGGTCTTTCCAGCAGTATGCAAGCAACAGCCCTTGCAATGCAAGGCATTCAAGACTTTGTTAAGACAGGTACACGAGAAGAGTGCTGTGTGACAAAATTCTATCAGTACTTTTCTATTCCACACCTTGCGTGCGGCAGCTTCGTGCACAGCATGTTTTCGGTGACCCTTGCATCAGATGAGGACACCAACTTCGCACACCGCATGCAGCGAAATAGCTTTCATTTCAACACTTGACACCTGGGATCTGCCTGTATTTAGCAGTGTAGCACATATCGATGACACAAAGAGCGAATGCGACACGGATCATGTTCTCGATGCGCTCCCCTGCGCGGCTTTTGGTTCAAGGCCATCTTCCAAGAGGTCTGCAGTAGCTCGAACGAAGTGAACAGGTCAAGCGGATCTGTTGAAGATGTTTCGCCTCGCACCTTTTCTCATTGGCGCAGCCTCTGCTGTCTACCTTCGCAGCAATGTGCGACTGACCAAAGTAGCGTCTGTTGGTAGGTCACATGTCTGCAGTGTGCCCGTGAAGTCTCATGGATGCAAGCACGTGTTCAGGTGTCGCAGGCCAGCGTCCATGCGGTCTCCAGCCTGTCCTTCTACCAGGAAGAGCCGCAATGCCAATGTGTGCCTTGCAGCTGAGCGTCCCCTCAACAACACCTTGCAAGTGCGAGCATGCTCGCTTGCTGCAAGTTGACTTCCCAGATCCCCCAAGTTCGAACACCCTGGAAGCTCAGGTAGCCAACAATCCAAGCTGGAAGAAGACGGCACGCACTGAGCCAAAGTGCATCTTCATCGATCTCGGAGCCGCAGATGGCAACACCTTCGCGAAGTTCCTTGAGAGCCTCGCCAAAAGCCAAAGAGGGTATGGCTTTTCAAGACAGGAGGCATGCTCGATCATACTATCTAAGAAGCCTGCTCTGTCGGAGCAATGCAGTTCGTCAGCAGGCAGTCCAGTCCCGGCGAGAGCTTTCGAGCTAACGCAACACAATTAGAGCTTTCGAGCTAACGCAACACAATTCCAGGGGATAGAAGATGAGCTGAAAGCTGGGGCGATTCCTCTAGGGCGACTCGTAGGGTGTGTTTGGTGCAAGGAACGACTATGGTCCATTGAAGGACTGCCCATCGGGCAAGTGGGAGGCATTTCTGTTGGAGGCCGGTGCTTGCCCTAGAATCTCCAGATTTCGCCGTTCCATGCTTGGTCCTGGCCAGGCTTAGGTATGCTGAGGTCTTCGTTTTCGGAGTCAACTGATTCGGGTTTCTGCACCGGTAGACACAAGCTGAATTCCGTACCGGTATGTTTCACCACCAACTTCCTTGCAAGTGCGTGACGCACACACACACACACACACACACAAACAAACACACACAAACAAACACACACACACACACACACACACCGAACTTTCCTGCCCAGTCTTCCGGACCTTCAGAAGCTGTGTGACAAGCACCGTGTCGTCAGGATTGTTTCCCACCCTCCGCCATCCCAAACTCGTTGAAAAGCCTGGAAATTGGGTAGCCATAGCACTTACAACAAACAAGATTGCCGCGGAATCTCCATCTTTGTGAGCGGTACCGGTTTGGGGCAGCTTTGCGTCCAGCCGTTGCCAAAAGTCCTTAGCCTTAGTGCCCTTGTGGCAGTCTTGGGCGAGATGTCTTTGACCTGATACAGGCGAACCCGCAGTTTACGAAGGAGCTCTCCTCGTTGGCGGAGAATTTCCCTGGCCAGGCCTGGGGCTTCGGCAGAGAGCAAATTCTGCCAAGTCTTCGCGGAGAATGTTTTATGACTGTCAGTCTAGTCGGAGCAATCGCGAAGAATCATGGCTAGGCGGAGTCCGGCTGTGGATGGTAGTAAATGTAGTAGACAGCAGCCCCCCTGTTCGATAGTGCGATTCCTCGAGTCGCGCAGCTTTGGCCTTGAAGGTTGAGTGAAGTGTGAAGCGCGGAGCTACGCGGGTGCCCACCCCCCCTCTCACGGGAGGACTGGGGTAAATCCCGCGTGAGACCTTCGACAGCTTCTGGTGTAGAGCGGGTTTTCCAGGTGCCATGGCACGACGAATGCCAGCCTGGCGAAGGACGGAAGCCCGAGCACGAGATGCGCACTTTGATGGGTTGGAAAATGGAGTCTGGGTGGAGTTCCCAGGTTATGATAGTCGGAGGCGACAGCAAGGAAATATTCTGAGCCACCTGGCGGAGACAGGCGAGAATCATCGACAGACCGGGAAGGGCCGAGTGTTTGAGGCCGACTTGGTGGCCGGGCAGGACGGATACTACGACTACGACTATTGGGTGGAGCAGACTTATGGTGTATACAGTTTGGAGCGAGTGGTGCCACTCCACTTCTGCGCTACCTCGCAGAGTGGGCGCCATGATGCCATTATGTATCGGCACCCCATCCATGTCGATGTCTTTGCCTCCCATGCTTGGGTCAAGTGACGACTTGGGAGGAGTGTGTGACAGCATCCTCATCGTCGAGGTCTTTGGTGCCATCGGACTTGCGCCAGGCTTGCGAGCTAGTCCAGCCGCAAGGGTTGATCTACATCGACACCAACGACCTCGGGACCAAGATGATTCGACGGCAGTGCGGCTATGTGTTGAGCTTCGGCGACATAAAAAAGATTAAGTTGAAGATGTGAAGGCCTGGCGGCGGGCTTTTCCCAAAGTGACAAAGGTGATTTTTGCAGGCGGGTGGCCAACAAAGGTGATGGAGGAGGAGGCGCTTCGTCCTTCCAAAGAGCGGATGTTAGCGACGGCTACCTCGAGGATATGATCCGCCTCCGAGGCTGGCTGAACTAAGTCAGCGTGGCGTGAAGCTGGCGCTGTGGGAGATGGTGGAGATCTACGAGAACTTCCTTGTCACCAAGGAGGCCCTGGACCGTGCCACTGAAAAGTTTAATGCCGGTATGTTCTTTGTGGAAGGAGCCCGAGTGATGAGATGCCGGCCACCGCGAGTATGGTGGCTCCGTGGGATCAATGTGGTCACGGCGGGCGATATGAAGTTGCAGACGGTGGCAGGGATGCCAACTTCTATGGTCTTTGACACCCAGCGGCCCCATCTTGAATGGTTCTTGAAAGCTGGGAGCCAATATCTCGACAAGCCGAACGAGGCTTTTTGCAGGTTTAGAAGGCCTGAGGCGAAGCAGAAGGCACCCGCTGTGGATGGGATCGAGGACATGGATCAGAGGGCCCTTGGTCGCTGGAAGGGCGATGCATGGAGGCCCCCGCCTTTCCACTGCCGAACATGGTCAGAGAGAACTCGCGTATCCGGAGGTTGAGCTCGGAGGAGCAGCTCAAGATGTTCGGGTGCTACCCAGACCATCTGTCCTTCAAGCGGAAGGTGTCTGAGCAGTAGATGATTGCGAGTGCCTGGCCGGTGATCGTTACGGCTCGGCTGTTGGCAAACCTGGTTGTGCCACAAAGGAGCGCGACCTCTGCGCTGAGCTGTGGAAAGTTTGGGAGAGTGGAGAAGCCAAGCCTAACAGATGCAGCAGAGCTCCTGGAGTGCGAAGTTTGTGCCGAAGTCGGGCGGGCAGGTCGGAGCACTTCCGATCTTTGGATGTGTCCCACACAAATCTACCTGTTCCTATGGCCTTGGATCCTGAGCAACGCCGTGTTGATGAACAGTTTTTGGCGATGCTGGTGGCCCGCAATGTTTCACACAAAGGCACCGATGTCAGGCTGGACATTGAGTTGCCCTTCATTGCCGGATAACCAAGGTGTTGTGGGCACCTTGGCAAAAGCACGAAGGTCTGCCCGGGTTCTTCAAACCCCCTGAGAAGGATCGCTGCGCTCGAGTCGGCCCAACGTGCGGTTGCTGGTGAAAAGGGTGACAAGTGAATGAAATCCCGGCCATGGGCCAAGTCGCTGGGTGAAAAAACACGCAAGTGGTGATGCCTGGGGGCAAAGCTGTCCTAGGCAAACGCACGAAGAAGGAGAAAAGTCGAGCGCAAAACACTAGGAGCGTTGAAGGTCTCAGGTTGTTGTTCCTAGGACTGAATCTAGATAGATTGTTGCTGTTTCACGTTTCGTTCATACCTTATATCTCAGGATGTGGGAAGAAGGTGACCCAAAAGCTTACGCCAACGACACCCTCAGTTGACTGGGTCACTTCATTAATTCGGTAAAGCCCCATCTCGTTGCCAATTGGCATCTTCATGCAGCAATGCTGCATGGGGGCGATCGGAACTCCCAGCACGTGCTCCTCCTTGTACCTCGTCGCTGGTCATGTTTTGCACAATGCTTTGGCACAACTGGCCTTTGAGTTTGGATGGGCTGATACGGCGGTTCTGTTCATCCTGGGGTTCCACACCTTTGCTCGGTCGTGGAGCTGTTTTCGGCTAAGGCAGGAGGCTTTGTGCTGTCAAAAGGCATAGGCACATGAACTTTACCACTCTCCAAGAGCGGCCAACGTCAGGGATCAGCTCAACGTTGCCGCGCCGTATCGTTGGTATTCCCTTCGCAGAAGAGGGGCGCCTCATGAACTTCGCCGCACGAGTAATTTGTCGTATGTGTGTTTGAAGAGACGGCAGTGCGCACGCCGCGCATCGATTTATGTGATGGCATGGCGCAACTTTCCGAACTCCAGTTGCCTGCCTCGAAATTTCGACAGGTGTGAGCATTGGCTCTGAAACACGTGCGGATTACGAGTCTAAGTGACTCACCTTTAGCTGCGTCGAAAGGGTGAGGTGGATGCCAGTTGGCCGTTTCGGGTATCGACCCTATGCGGGGGCAGCCGGAAGGCTGTGGCTTGTGCCATTCGGTGCTTCGGCCCTTGCTTGCACATGTTCCAGGGATGTTGCTGCCGCTCTTGTCTTTCTTGGGCATGCTGCTCTTCGGAAGGATTGGCCGCGCACCTTTTTTCGTGTCGTTATGTCTCTCGACATATGATCCATACTGCTCTTTAGCACAGCTCGTGACAAAACACATGCGGAGAAGGTTGAGCACTCTGTGAGCACTGGACAGCAGCCCTGTGTTCGATAGTGTGACCCCGCGTGTCACGCAGCTTTGACCTTGCCCTCCTTCAGCTCGTGACAAAACAAGTGTGGAGAGGTTGGAGCACTAGAATTCATGACAACGTGTGTGTGTGTGTCTGCTGATGTGCTCAGCTGAGCTTGTCGGACCTGCGGGACAGGTTCACTCTCTTGCGGAGCATGCCGCCTTCTCTTGTGAGGTTGGAGCCCCATCCCGATTGAATGTGTGACAGCGTTCTCTGCATTATTTCCAGGGCACGACCAGCTTCTTCATCGACAAAGATGCCACTCACAACCACTGGGGGTCCAGCATGATGTCGGATGCATCTGGGAGGCATGTTGCACCGTGCCAGATGGAACATGCGTACTAGTGGGGTTGAGCTTGCTGCCAAGATACTTTGGTTGGCAACCAAGGCCCCGGATGCCGTTAAGAGTGGCGAGGTCAAGGTTACCGTCCCAATGTCCAATGTCGTGCAGCTGCTTTTCGGCTTGCAGCAAGTGCCTTTCGCTCTCCAGACAATAAAGCGAGATTGGTGCAAGGATCGCCGAGAACGTGCGGCCGGATGACTGGGTCATGCTCAAGGTCGATATTGAGGGAGCCGAGTACAACCTCATCCCCTGCTTAGCGCAGTTCAGTACCGTGCAGCATTGGTAGACAGCGTGAGACACAAACAGCCAGTTGGTGGATCTTCCCGAGAAGACAATGCTAAGGTGATGTAGGCATGGTGGACCGGATGTACTTGGAAGAGCACTGGTGGTTTCCATCCATCACAGCTTCTCGGATGCAATATGGCAGGGTGGCAAAGGTACATTGCATAGGCCGCGAATCTCTACAAGGAAACTGCCAAATCGGCTCTGGCGGAAGCGAAGAAGCAGCTTGTGGGCAAGCACGTGGACATCCCGAACTACTACTCCGAGACCTGAGTTCCATGTGCCCTAATCCCATAGGCCACGTGCCTGTGACGTAGGCGTCCACTTGGCGTGCCGTGCCATGAGAAAACAGAAGAGCCTGCAGACCCCTTCAGTTACCAGCGCCTTGTCAAGAGATCCAGTTGAACCGCCTTGCTGACATGCTTAGATTTCGTCAACTCCGTGGTGGGCTTAGTGAGAGGGCATGTGAATTCACGGACCAGGTGGCCCACTCGTCCACACCCTGTCTGCACCATTAGAGTGTTATTTTCTTCAGTTGATATTACAAGTAGTTGGCGTGGACTACTGTAGGGCAGTCATGTTCGTTCGGCGAACCATCCACCCTGGCCATGGGGCAACGACGACAGCGACACGGTGACTTGGAGCCAAAGGGTAGCAACTGGATGGGAAGAGCGTGTCCGTGTAACAGTATGAACTTGCTGCAGGTTGGATGCGACTCGGTGCCCTTGTCGTGCTGAGCAGAGCACAGACTGACTGCAGCTTGGCCGGTCATTGCTTTTTTGTTGTTATGCACGGGCAGGGTGAACGCGAACAATAAATCGTGAAGGATTGGTCGGATCTTTACCTTTGGCCTGAATTTCGCAGGCCGTGGAACCGAGCTCGTTGGCCAGGATGTGTGGACCGTGGCACGCGAGGTTGACAAGGCTCAACTTGCATGGGCTCCTAGACACATGAAATGCTTTCAAGTCTCATGGTCAGTCGTTCATCCTTCCTGTTGGATACTGCATGCATTGCAGCAGTAGGGGGATAGTGCCGCCACCAGTTATTTCCGTGGAGTTGGCTGATCCTTCCCGAGAAGTCAGCCGAAGGCCTTGCAGCAGACGCACGTGCCGCGCGAGTATGGGCTTGAGAATCTTGGCTGGTCCGAGCTAGGGGCTGTGCACAAAGCATGCATACATATATGTGTTTATACGTGAATACATGCATACAGGCAGACATGCACACACACACACACGCATACATAAATAAAGACATACATACACACACAAACACAAACACAAACAAACACACACACACACACACGCATGCACACACACGCACACACAGACACACAGACACACAGACACACGCACACACACGCGGACGGACGCATCCGCACACATATACATATGCACCTGCATACGAACGCTTGTGCGTACGTATGTCTATGTGTATGTTTAGTTTGCTGGCGTGCGAGTGTACGCATGTTTGCATGTGTGCATCTATGCATGCATGGCACTGGTCTATCTGCCAATATAAACACCTGTGAAAGACTGTCAGTCGGCGTATGAAAGGAAATGTATTACATGTTCAGATGTTGATATGGATGCAAACAAGATGTCTATACGGACCATTCAGGTGCAACCTGGTAATTAGATACCTACGCAAGACACTGAGCGCACACACGCGCACGCACCCACCCACACACACACACACACGCAGAGGTGAGAATGTGTGTGAAATAGGTACAACAAAAATCCACACTTGCACTGGTGCATCAGACCAGTATGTATGTTTGTAGTATGGTATGGCATGGCGTGGCATGCTATGTTATTTTATGCTATGCTACGGCGCGGGCGTGTACAGTATGGTAAGGCGGGTTACTGGGAATGGGAATAGTCATGGTCAACCGTCCATGCTCCACGAATCCCACGGAACGATACCGCTATTGCCGACGAATACTTGACTTGACCCGGTATCCAGCTGCTGAGCGATTCCCATCAAGTACATACAGTGTACATGCAGTTAACTCCTCGCAGTCTTGCTCAAAGAGTCTTAAAGAAAGGAGTAGGAATCCGAGATCAGAATCGCATTTGGAGAAGTAGTCTCCCTCCTCCTCAGAAGGCATGAAGGCCGGAAGCCAGGAACATTTGGGTTTTCCCTGCATGCAGCCGGCTTCCTCACACCTTCTCAGCACAGGCTGTCCAACGCATTGTTCGGCCTTGAGCGCTCCGGAGCTCTTCCAGGAGCTATTGAAGCCTTTCGGCCGCTTTTACTTGGAACCCGGATGCTGTGCAGATTTGGTTTGTTGCACTTTAGATATTACAGCACGGGCTTCCAAAGTGGTCAGCGGTTATGATGCTGTCCTGCCTGCAGACATGGGAGCGCTTTGGTGATGAGTTGAGGATTGTGCGCTGGGCGTGGCGGTTCTAATTCTGAATGCCTTGCCTCAAGCGGAAATCCGCTTTGGTACTGCGACGCTTCGCCAGTCTTCAGTGCCCTTCTTGGTCTTCATGCTTTGATTTGCGTTCCCGTGAAGCAGCCCGCGGCTTGAGCATTTTTTTCGTCATGCCATTCTGGTCTCATCTTGCAGTTCTTGCACTGCTCTTTGCGTCCTCGCCTGCTTACAAAATGGTGGGTTCAAGTGAGTATGTTGTGCAGACACTTTGCAGTCTGAGGAAGGCCAAAGAGTATTTCTTGCTCTACGAGGGTTTGAGGCAAAGATATGGTCATCTCTGGAATGCATCTGGTTTTGCATGGAATCTGCAAACACATCAATCAGAGGCTTGGCATTGCACGAGCGTCTTGAAGATCCGTGGACTGATTCCTAATTTTTGTAGGTAACCTTTAGCCGCTTTTCGGTTTACTATTATTATAGCCCATATATAAGCCCAATATTCTCCCAAAGGTAGTCTTGCTATTTCTTCTCTTCCTGTTTGCTGCCGGCCTTACCAAGGACAGTTATCCGCTGCTTCTCGGCCTGAAGCCGCAGGGTTGTTATGACTCCGGCATCAAAGTTTATGTCTATGAGACGAAGTTCGCTGCTCGGCCGGTGGATTGCAGCCAGGGTATGTTTGCCAGCGAGGTTTTCGCACCTTGCACTTGTTTTGAAACATTTTCTTTGGCAACACCTCTTTGGGCAATCGTAGTGGTAGACAGAAGGGAGGTGCTTGCGGTTACCTGCTGCCGACTGAGGTCCACCAGTTTCTCTTACATAGCACATGTCGAACGGAGAACCCGGCCGAAGCCGACTTTTTCTTCGTGCCTGTCTATGCTGCGTGTGTAATGACGAAAGACAGAAACACAGCCGACGAGACTTGGAGCATGCAGCAGAATGTAGCACTTGTATCCGGTGCCGTAGAGATGATCGTAGCCTTCTAATGGAACGAGACGCCCAGGACATGGACGCTTTCTACAGCCGCCTGGTGAAGGAAGAGCTTCGGTACTTCGAGGAGAGCCACAAGCTCCACAGTAGACTGGCTGAGATAATGTCAGTAATTGCCATTGCCGCGCTCCTACCTTGGCAATTTCCAGCAGGCAACGAGCTGCGGTAACGTGGTCTGTTTCGTTAGGACATGTTACGACCCGTGTCTTGCACCTGCATGCTCCCCAGCACGTTCTGCGCCCTGCTCACCCTTTACCTAGGGATGGGTGCCTCCAGGACCAGGGTGGAATTGACCACATATTCCTGTGGTCCTCGGAGACCTACGATTTCCCCTCGCCGCCAAGCTGTTGTCAAGATGTTTCGGGGGAGTCTTGTGTTCCGGCTGATCAGTTCCAGCCGTTTTGCCCAAAGAGGCTTTTGCCCCGAGTGAAAGGTGGCAGGACTACATCCCGGACTCGCTCTTCCTGTCCGTGGAAGCTAGGCGCGGTTCACGGCTTTTTAAGCGATTCGGGCAGAGAAATCATGGAGCTGTGAGCAAATACACGCCAAGACCACGGCACATGCAGCAGGCCAATTGAGTGCACGGACTTCGACTTCTTTTCAGAAGAGACGGCCGATAATTTTGGTGCTCACTGCAAGCACTGCTACTGGTGCTTCTCAGCTTTGCTGTTAGGATGCGTGCTGTTTGATTCATGGTCATTCCGTGCTCTTACCCAGCGGGAGCGTGAGCATGTTGAGGCTTCACACCTTGGAAAGATTATGTCATCCCGGGCTTCGTGGAGAAGTGGAGCATCGACAAGCTGCAAGCTGTAGAAAAGCCCCATGCACATCGGTCCTACACGGCGTGCTACCACGGTGCCGACTCTGATGCCTTGGCTATCTACAAGTATGCGAACACCACAGTGTTCAGACTGCACTGGTCACCCACTTACACTCTAACGAAGCTATCAGCCAGCTTGTAACCTACAGCTTTGCACCGCTTCGCTGTTTACTTGTTTACACCGCACAGACTTTGTCTCTCTCTCTCTCTCTGTCCTCTGTCTCTCTCTCTCTCTCTTTGTGTGTGTGTGTGTGTGCGCATGCATGCACCCATTTCGGGCTGCGACTTCGTGGTATTAGTGGTAGAAACCAGGTCACGGTTCCCAGCACAGGCAACTCAGGCTCGTATACACTCTGCGCAGGTGCGGAACGATCTCCAAACACTCCGTGGTCGGCCGGGCTTCAGCATCGGCTACAGGTTTAATCGGATTATCGTGGCATGGCTGCAGATGCCGAGTCATACACACGATCCAGCAGACTCCAGATGCCTACCAGAGCAGTTGCAGGAAGCCCGAATGGCAGGTAAGTGCAGTTCCCTTGCTTGTAGCAAAATGTCTGCAAACTCTTCCTTACCTGATGCCTTGTTGCAATGCCATCTCGTTTGATGTGAACTCCACTTAGAGCTTGGCTTTAGCTGTCGCTCTAGCTGTTCTACCATTACAGTCTATTGGCATGTTCTGCCCCCGGGATTCAGCCTGGTGTGTTTCCCAGCATTTCGCAGCCAGCTCTGCCGATGAAGCCTCTGCGGGTACATGGCCCAGTGCTCAGCCCGAGACCTTGAGTGGCTCAGGAATACTTCGATCGTATCGGCGATTGCCACTTCTGCTTTGCGCCGAAAGGCTTGGGCTTTTGGAGCAATCGGCTGTACGAGGCTTGTCGGGCATCTGCGCAGCCGAAGTATCAAGTAGTACTAGCCTAGTAATAGCTGTGTTGAATCTGAAGTGCATGCATCAGGTGTTTTCTAACGAGTGCGGCATGCGAGCTGCGAAGTTTGAGCGCTTTACACCAGAGAGGTTTGATTCGCCTTCGCGTGGCTTTCTGTGAGGTCATGTTTGCGGGTTGCATCCCCGTCCGTGCCCCAGTCATTTCGGGGACAGACGGGGGAATGCTCTCGCACTCCCTAAGATAGGATTCGCGCGCAGGCCTGGGTCTTTTGATCTTGTGTCTTGAGATTCTCCGAGTGAGCTTCGAGTGCCTCAAGAGTAGCTACTATTCAGATTTTTACGCGCAGCTCGCCTGATGAGGGCCGAAGAATGAAGGCACCATCCCAACATCCTTCCCCCCGTGCATTAGGCGGAATTCCGCCTTGTCTGGTTTCAAGCCTTGCCTGGACACCACAGCCAAAATGCTACCCCGCCAGCCCCCATGCAGTGCGGGATTCAGAGACACGGCAAAAAGTTCTTCCCCGCACACTAGTATTGGCCGGATTCAGACATTTCAGGCCAAAGCGGGGCCAAGGTATTGGAATTTACGATGAATCGCGCTTTCTACAGGCACCACAGGCCAAATCCATCACCTCCACGCACCGCAGGATTCAGAGGCACGCCCAACGAATGCTTGTCCGCATGTACTGGCCGGATTCAGACAGCTCCAGGCCAAAATGAGGCAACGTATCGCGCTTTCGAGCAGGGCCTGCACCGGGAGTGTCGAAAAAATGGATCTGAGGACAAACTATACAACACGCCCCGTATCTTCAAGGCTCCCGTCCCCGAGGCAGCACAGGCATTCTGTTCCCGGGAGCACGATTCCCACTTGATTTGGTTCTGACATCCTGAGGTCATCCTTTCCGACGATATCGGCCTGCCTTTCGATGACTTCCTTGACTGGTATCTTGTCGCAGTATGTTGAACGACAGATCATGCTCGTGGTAGTTATGCCAGGCAGAACCATGCTTGCGGTGCCAAGCAGGGAAACAGACTCGTTCGTTCCAGATGCTCCGATTCGGGCGTGATTGCGTGCTAGTGCCGCGCGGTTGCTGTTAGCCACCTGAAGCCTCCCGCCTGAGAGAAGCTCTACTCTACGGGTTTTGATTTTCATGTTCTCTTCCCTTTCACTGGATCCAGGTCGTCGTTTTCGTTGAAGTGGCCCATGGATGAGGCCCGAAAGATACGGCTACAGGCATCTACAGGCTTTGCCTTTGCATCTTGTCCACTTCTGAAGGTAGGCCCGGCGCTGGCCGAGCACTTGGAACGCCTTCTGGAGTCGAATCGTTCGGTGGTGGCCGACATGCACCAAGCGGTGCTGCGCCACAGGCGTCGATTCTGACAGTAACTTCTGTCGGACTATCCCCGACCGTTGGCTCCTCCGCAGTGTTCTTATCTCAGATGCGAAGGTGCTGGTTCGACTACAACTCGGAGGATCCCAACTGTTGCTCAACAGGAACGATGTAGAGCGACACAGCCGGATAGGAACGATCGCGGAATGTTTGCCGCTGCGCTTTTCCTCCGGGCATGAATTCACCATCCAGAAGTCAGCGCTTGGTATGCTTCATTCTGAAACTTCACGGGTGTGTTTTGTGTGCGAGGTTCTCCGTACCTGGGCATTCTTCGCTACCTTCAGAAGAGGAAGCAAGCCATGCCCCGCTCACAAGGCTTGGAAGATCGGTGGCCCATGCTTCATGTGATTTCATGTGCCCAGTGGATCCCAAAAAGACCCCATGCAGGAAGGACCTGGGACATCGTCACGCCTCCGATACGCGGGACTCCACGGGCAGCTGCCGAGCTGGCCGAGCCGCAGCGATGACCGCGGAAAATGGGTGGTGAGCCATTCAGAATGGGAGCCATTCTATACTCTTAAAAAGGTCCCTTATGCCGGTCCGACTTTTTCTGGTACCAGGTCTTGCACGCAGCACCCCGTCCGAGGTCTGGAAGTCTGTTGGGGCTCAGAGCACAGATATTTCGAAAGTTCTTGGTTTGCCGAAACCGATGGCCAGTTGGGCTTGAGCTATGGCAGAACACGTCAAAGAGTAAGAACCACAGCCATGCTGCATATGGAAACCGTTATGCAGGGTTTGGGGCAGTCAGGGGATGTCAGGGGGTTTTCGGTTGCAGTGTCAATCAGAGCTAGAGATTGCATGGTTTCGAAGATCCTGCGATGCGGCTGGAGCCTTCTAGGCCAGCACGGGGAGAGTAAGGGTGTAGAGTCGAGTAGATCCGACGGAAGGTGCTCCACATACCAGAAGCGATCTTGTTCGAAGAGGCTGCAGTAGCTGCAACTTGTACAGAATACTCTACCTATAACACGGAGTTGCTTGCGTGGCCGGTGTTGCTTTCAGACTTGCTTGTCTGCCCAGCTTCGGGCCGTGTCTTGGTTGAAGAGCGTGGACAATCCAGCGAGGGATTCTTCGAGGTTTCCGAGGCTGCAAGCTTCTCGTTCTGCATGCCGAAGCGCCGAAAGCGGCAGGAAGAAGATCGGTCTCGCAAGCGCGCGCTCTATGTGCCCGAGCCCTTCGACTTGTTGGATGCCGCTGACCTGCCTTCGGTGCTTCCACGGTGTGAAACAAAGGAGGAGTCTGAGGAGGCCACAGAGACAGCTCCGCAGGCCACGCCCGAGGAGCTCGAGGCGACCGAGACGAAAGAGCTCGAGGCGAAGGACCTGGAGCAAGCAGATGAAGAGGCGACTCTGAATGGGATCGGAGAGCTGGCCATCTTGCGGCGATTTCTGCGCCTCTGGCAAGCCTCTGAAGCCTGGAACCGGCGGCTGGTTCGGGAGCTTCTCAGCTGGAGTATCGGGCAACCAGCTACGCAGCTTCCCGTGCATGAGGAGGATGCCAGTACTAGCCGTGGCACGCCTGCCTGGGCTCGACCATCAGGGGCTCTCTACCGTGCAGCAGCTGCAACATCTTCGTCGTCACACATCCTCTCCAAAAGGACAAAGAAGAAACAAAATGCGCGCGCAGATAAACCGGCGGGTGAGCTGTCATCCGAGGAGGTTTCTTCCGATTCTGAGGAGCCACGTGTGTATCGGCCGGGCGACTGGCCGGATGAGGTGCGACACTTGGAGATTTTAGAAGCAAGCTGGCCCAAATATCTGTGTTTTCGAAGGGCCAGAAAGCTTTTTGAACGGCCCCCGCCAAACTGGCAGAGTGTGGCCAGCCTTGATGGTGTAGAGCGAGAGCTTAGCCTACGCTCTCTGTTTGCGCAGGCCGGACACAGTTTCGACAAGTCGGAGTGGCATTGCCTCATTTGCCGCCTCCTCCTTTGTCTGCATAACAATGCCGAGCTCTTCTTGCAAGTGCAGCTGCCCTTTGTGCTACGACAGTACATGGGCCTACCACCAGCTGTCGATTTGTGGCAGGAAACCACCCGGTTTCTGCGACTGAGCTCCAGGTCCAAGGAATCCGAGGAGGATGCGCCCGAGATGAAGTCGTGGGTTGAAGCGCTGCAGAAGTCCTCGGTCGCCTTGACAAATGCAGCACCCAGGATTTGGCAGTGCATCTTCGAATCTTCGAATGGCTCACCGTCAAGGCGAGCAACTCTTGAGAAAGAAGTGAACCATGCCTTAGCGGTTTCTGACAGCCTTGACCACTTCGACTCTGTTTTCACTGGCCTCCTCTATGCCTATGCGGAAAGGTTAGGCCACCAGATTCCAAAGCGCGAAGACTTGCTCGCCCCTCTGGCTCCCAAAGAGCGCCGTCTGATCTGCAGGATACTGGGGATCTCTTTCCGAAGTGCTTCCCAGGGTGACATTCCCCTGCTCCGCTTATTGCAGAAGAGGCTACAAGCCCCAGTGCAGAGTGCCGACGACTGTGAGCGTTTACGGCGCGACGAAGTCCCAGGAGTCGCAACTCTCCGCATGCTACTGCAGGAGTATATCCATTGGGAGAGCTTTAAACCCACCCAACCTGACATGACGGACGAGGACTTTATCCGGTGGCTCTGTCCCAGGATCACCTATCGTGCAGGTCGCTATCAGGATATTTGCCGCAAGCTCCTTCAAGAGGGTCGGGAGCTATCCGACGAGAAGTCTCGAAAAGTCTTCGAGTCGAGGGAGCTGATGGCCTTGAAGGAGTATCTTCTGCGTATGGAGCTCCCAACCGAGTTCAACGTTGCAGAGTATGTGTATGCGGATGGTGAGCAGGAGCTGGAGCACCGGATCGTGCTTCCAACTGCCTCATGAGAGGTTGCGGAATGTGTGGCATGTGTGGCAACTGACGCATCCCTGGCTCCAGGATTTCAGCGCGACCGCGATCAGCTTGAGAGAGCACTGAGAGCCTCATCGAGTCTTGAGCTTGCTGCGGCCACGCGACTTTAGAGAAGGCTCGGTACATCAAGTCGGCATCGATCAGAGCTTCCCGTGTTTTCGGGCAGCAAGGCTGCATTTCCGTACGGATGCGCGTGATGAACCTCAGCTCTCGCTGTTTCCTCACTCTCAGTGGCAAGATGAGCAGGATTCGAAAAAGTGACGAGATAGACCACCACTCTTTCAGTAGATGTCGCTGAAGGTAGGCCCGAAGTAGGCTCAAAGCAGAAACTGCACAGACATGCTCCCTTCAATGAACTTTGCAGGAACAGTTCTTGTCTGGCGCAGTTTGCGCTCGGCCGCGTTCTGCGCTCGGCGCGACACTTGGATGCAGTTGCTGCACCCCTTATTATTTTAACTCTGCGCCTCGTAGATTCAGATACGCCCGAACGTTGAGTGTATATTCTGCAGGCAATTAGAGCATGTATGTGGAAATGTCACACGGTGCGATCTCACCAAAGTGCGCAGTGTCCTGAAATTCGTTTCAGCTTGGTTGTTGCTTGTTGAATTCGGTGCCCCGGCTCCGTATGCCTGCAAAGTCTCATCGGAGGACGGTCTGCGCGCGGCCGCTGTCCTTGCAGCGATACCAGAACCTGCTAGTGGCATCGAGAATAAGCCACAGGCTGGGCAACCCGTAGGACCTTAGGACACAGATGCGTGAAGCAATTCTTACACACTTGCAGAAGGTGAATGCAGGCTCGGGCTTCTTGTCATAGGCCGTGAGAGAACTTCTCTATGCCTTGCTTGTTCTCTAGCAATTTCGAGGGCTAGGAAGTGTCATGTCTTCGCCTGGAGATGTGCCATCGCTTGGCCCTGGAGGCTTTCAAGTATGGACGGCAGGCAGAACAAACCGCCGACCTTTGGTTGCCAGCCGGACAATCACCGAAAGGTGTAGTCGTGCTGCTGCACGGCGGTTTCTGGCTTGTGCAGTATGGCGCCTCGTTTGGCTTCAGATCGGTTTTATAGCGGAAGCCTTAGCGTCGCAAGCCAGTACTGCCTGACCGCGAATTGCGGTGATGTAAGGCAAAGAGTTGATGACCGACCTTGCACGTGATGTGGTCCAAAGAGGCTATGCCGCGCTTAACCTGGAGTATCGACGAGTGGGGAGTCCCACTTGGAAGGAGCGGGAACGATACAGTTGGAGCTTCTGCACAGTTTAGCCGTCGTCAGTGTGCAAGATGCCAGGATGCCAATACCACCTTGAGTGATGTCTCTGCGGGTCTCGCACTGCTGGACTCCGGGAAGCCGACCGGCTGCAGCGCAGACAATGGTCTGAGGGTTGTTAAAACTTTGGCCAAAACTCCAGGACATGTGCAGCCTTGATGCTCCCTTGCAGGCTCCCTTTAGATGGGCTTCCGTTTGCCGTGGTGGGCCACTCTGCAGGCCAAACGCAAAAACATAACCTAGGCGCTTGCTGAACTTGGTGCAAACTGCACAGCTTAAGCCTGGCTGCAGGCGGCCATTTGGCATTGTGGTCGCAGCTGCGGAGTGCTGAAGTTTCACCTGCTGCAGCTGTTGTGTCAGCTGGCGGTGTATTGGACTTGTGCTACGCAGACAGCGAGGAGCTGGGAGGTGGCACAAACAATCATGCAAAACTCGCCTGGATGGGCTCGGTCGCTTGACTCGTCTTCAGGTGGAGCTGGTGCCGTGCCACGCTTCTTGAGCTACCGTGAAACGGCCAGTCTGAGGCAGCACATTTGCATCCAGAGAGGGGCCGGCATTCTCTGCAATAACCAGAGCATGTAGGCCAATATTCGGTCCAGCTGGTTCATGCAAGGCGCTTCCACGACTAGGCTGAGAGCACTTCGCGCCGAAGCTTCAACTCCCCAAGTCAGCCAAAGTTGCCCATAACTTCCTGGACCTTTCCGTTACACCGGAGAGCCGGAGCTGTAGCCTCACTCAGGCGGGAGGTCTCCCCCATTGACATGCTACCGCCGTGCCGGGTGAATTCTTTGCGAGGCTGATCTATGGGGGAGGAGCATGTGCTTTCGATTCAGTCTGTCCGAAACAACTTGGGGCTCTAGGAAATTGCCGGCGGTGCCTTCGTTCTCTGGCAATGTACCAACGAAGAAACATGAAGTTGTTGACAGTTCCGAAGCTGCACAAAGACGAAACAGAGGGTACACAACATTTCCTTTCTCGTGACGGTCCTTGCCGACTCTGATCGACACGCTCGTGAGAAATGACAAGGTCGTATACATGTTCATGAATAGATCTGGACAAACTGGAGCAATACACAAAGAACCAAGCGATGAGTCGCATTCATATCTTGAGCTGCCCAGGCAGCGAGGCCCAAAGAGGCGTTGCTCCACAAGCACGCGTAGGCTGCGCTGGAAAGTGTCCCAGTGTACTTTCGCCTGTTGGTTTGAGTCTGGGAGAGAGAGACAGGAAGGCTGGAAAGCGAGCTGCCACTGGAGAGTCTTCACATCGCTCAGGCCTGATACATGGATCACTGGACGAGGTGGTGCCTCCAGAACAGTCTATCCGCTTTCTGGCCCCTTTGAGTGCAAGCAAGGAGCGAGGATGTCTCCGTCTAACTGCAGGTACGCAAAGTGCCAAATTCGAAAACGAATCGGAAGCTTTTGATAAGCTTCTGTAAGTGTGCCTCGCGATCCCTCCAGCAGAGAAGGTCTCCTCAACCTGTGCCGGGATTCCGTGCGAGCTGCACCTCGTCAAGCAGGAGGGCCACTATGAGGCCATGTGGACTGGGTCTAGGATTGAACACCATGCCAGCCATCATGCTCTGTCTAGCCTCAAATGTTTTGTCTCTGCCAGGTCCTCAATCCTAAATCAAAGTCGTGGCAGTCTACGATGGATTTCGCACCTCAGAAGAGTTCTAGTTACGCAGTGTTACTGGTCAGCCAAAGCTTCGGCATTCGTGGTTCAATGGCAGTTGAGGGAGTACAATATCTGACAAGCACTTCGGGTCCAGCTTTTCTTGTCTGTAAGTCTGTCGATTTTTACGCCCCCTAAATTTGAGGGCTTTGTGGTGAGGTCCGTGCCGCCTTCGCAGCCCCGAAGCGCCGCACGCTCCGCGGGGCCATGGCTGCCACGGTGCGTGAGGAGCTTCGTGCGGCGCCCGGTGATGGTTTGCTTTAGAGCCCATGACATGGGTGGTGGACGGTGGGTTGTGCTTCACAGGCTAGGACTAGGAAGAGTAGTAACGGGAAGCACGACTGATGGTCACATGCAGCCTTACAGCCTTAATTGTCAGAGCTGTGCCCGAGATCTACAGTGCAGATGACCCATCTTTCACATGACCAGAGAAATTGCAGGCGAAGAGACGCTCATTCGAAGTCAACTTGAAGGAGAAGTCGGATGACCAAAACTGCGCGGAGTAAAAACGATTTGAGCCAAGACCTTCGAATACAGCCGCAACACTCCAGGCAGTTGAGCTTGAGACGCGAGTGACTAGTGAAGCTGCTTTGGGCAGAGCATGGTGCAGCGTCCGTAGCAGAAGATAAAATTTTCCGTGCAGAACCTAGTCGAGATCTGGCGCCTGGGACAGACTGTACTTGCAGCAAACACAATCCAGACTGCCTTGGTGTGTGGCTCAATCAGCACTGCTTCAGTCGAAGCTCTCCGCCGCTGCTGCCTTGTAGTTTTGCTGTGGACTTAGCGCCACCCAGAAGTCACTGCGATGCGTCAAGCAGTCCGCGGATATGATGCAAGTGTGACGTGTGAAGAGGCACCCATCCGTTTTTTTGAACTAGCTTGTTTCGGCCGAGCCGCAGACTCGGCCAGCAGACCGAGATGGTGGCTGGGATTTGCAAGGTTAGTATCTCTGACCTTGAGTTTTTTTGACGGCTACTAAGGACGTCCTCATCATGCCAGCAGCATGGTCTCCCAGCTCCTGGAGGTCTCCACCTAGCTTGACGGCATGTTGTGGTCCACCTTTAGCCACACGGATTTGGGCAGTCAACTGGGGCATGTTGGGAGCCGGGTAAAGGCACCTGCCCGATTTGTGTGAGTACTCGCTGCGTGGGAGGCTGGGGCGTGTGGTGGTAGTGCATCATTCTTTGGAGGCCACTGCCAAATCAAGACCCGCCACCACACCCACACTCTTCCTTGATCCGGGCCAGGGACCTGCACCGCGATCTGTAAAGAGCGCAGCCAAATGCCACACACAGTCATTCTCGTTGCTGAGCCAAGTCTTGCGACCCCGGTTCCTGTTGTCACCCTCCTTGCTACGTGGAAGGACTTTGCCAAAGCACCAGATGGCCGAATGGGACGACAAGGCTGTGGCGGACAAGGCCAGGGAAGCCGTCCAGCATCATGTCATCATGATGTTGTCATCGCGCAGCCGGCAGTTTCATGGATCCACAGCCGCAAGTAATGAAGCCGTGCGTTGGGACATGTTAGGTCTTCAGCAAGCTTGGCAAACTGCCACCATTGGCCTGCGGCTTGGGACTTCTGGTAGCTGGGAGTTGAGTGCTCCGAGTTCCTGAGTCTCTGAAAAAGGCTGGTGCTGTTTTGGGTTTGCCGAGGTGCAGCCCAAAGAATGTGACCGACTGAAGGCTCTGTTGGCTGAGGCTGGCTGACACTAGCTCTGCCAGCTCACATTCTGTATCTTCGGCCTGCCTTTCCATCAGTCTACATAACCCCACGGGCGCGCGCGCTGCACTAACTCAGTGCAGACGCAAGCTGCAAGAGCGCTTCATCCACGGCTCATATGACCTTCTTCAGTTCAGCTTATTGATCACGTGACCTCTCTCCTGTCCGAGGCAGGCCGAGGGGAGCGCTTTATCGTCCAAGGAGGTGACTGCGTCTCTGACTGAGTCGAAGCTTGGGCAGCTCAGGCTTAGAGGACCTGTCGGGCCCAAGGGGGAAGGGGGTAAGACGGGTAAGATCCGAATAGATCAGATCCTCAGATTCGCTGCATCTGTGTTTGGGCGCTTCATGAGGCCGAGCGCTTCATGGACTGCGAGGGCGAGCGCAGGTGCCCCAAGGAGCTGAGCATGGATCAAACTTAAGCAGACAAGCTCTCTCTTTGATTAAATGGAGCACTGATTTCAAGAACTACTAGTATGTGGTAGACCTGCGGCGTCCGGCTTTCCATTCTACTTTCCGATGTCCTTGCTCTTGGGCCCCACTCGCACGTCAGCGTCGAGCCGGGCCCGCAGCCGCAGAGCTCAGGCCTAGAGCAGCAGCTGAAACTTATCCTGCAGATGGGTGCCTTGGCCTTTTGGCATCTGCTGTGTCGTGCGTCGTGCTGGCCCGACAGCGAGAGACGAAGAGAGAGAGAGCTTGTACCCGCTTCGCAAGCAAGCAAGTCTTGTCAAGAGAGCACGTACAAAGATTTTTCGGAAGTTCCGGAGGGTCGGGGTAAGGATCACTTCGACGCAAGGGGGGCCACTAACGACTTGCTGGTGCAGAAGTCGAGGTGACGAAGGGTAATCTCGAGGCCGTGCTTAGTGCAGCAGCGATCGTCCCGGAACTAGAGCAGGTTCTGGTACAGGGAGAACATGTTTTTCTTGGAGTTGCTCACGATTGCCATTCGGCCATCGGGCAGAACCCCTGTGAGTAGTGAGTGCTTCAGGGGGTGGAATGGCTACAGGCGGGTTGCCGGATAGGGCTATCCCAAGAAAGCGCGACATCGTACGGGAACCTACTCTCGCGCTGTTGACCTTCGTCCTGTCGAAGAAGAAGAAGGAGCCACAAAAGAACAGAGAGAGGGAGGGAAGCGAAACACGCATCATCCCCGTTCGCTTCTCGCAATTTTCTATCAGTCGAAGACCTTGCGCTTGTAACGATGTCATTCAATCAGTCCGTTGCACATCGATGTGGTTGCGAGTTAGGTGTGCAGTGGCTTCGCATCCGAAGGGACGGTTAAAACATGTTAGAACATGAAGTGATTATGCAAACAGCATTTGAACATTTTCTTGCGCATGTAGAGGCAATATGTGCGCAGATTCGCAGTTACATGCCTTCTTCAAGATTTGCTTGCGATCGTTTGCATACTGAAGGGAAGTGTTCGGGCGTGTTCTTCAAACTGATTTGACTTGCTGGGATGAGATCAGGAATGGTCGTGGAGCATATTAGCGCCAAGTCTGGGAACTCAGATGCGTCCCGGATCGTCCCAAGTGGCACGGCCTGGCCTGGCCTGAACGTCCGCGTGCTGTGCTAGACAGGCCCACCTTGAAGATCTGCCGCATCGCAGGCCAGGCAGGGATCTGTTCAACAAGTCCTGCTGTCGTGCTTATGCAGTCAGAGCTTCTAGTCCTCAAGCGAACAGCTCGGTGTCCTGAACTACTTCGTTGGCAGGACAATACGGGAAGCCCCGCTCGAAGCCCACCGAGGTGGTCGAGGGTCAGGTTCTTGGTATCGCTGTGCTTTCACTGAGGTCCAAAAGGCCTAGTCATCGCAACAGTTTCCCCGTGATTGAGGTCATGGAGAGATCATGAGCTTCAAGGGCGACAACATCAATGGCCTCTTGCTTGCAAGTAGAACTCGCCCAAAATGTCTGCTGCAAGCATGCAATTAAGCCGACATGATGCGGAACGCTGTGACTGTGAACTGCTTTCCCAGAGGCTTCGACCCAAAGGATCGCAAGTGGGATCCGGAGCGCTTGCTTCTAGGCCGGTCGTCCAGCCTAGCAATCCAACCCGTCTCGTGCGATGTGATCAGCCGATCAGGATACTGGCACTCTTCTGCCACGCTGAATTACCTCAGGGGCTACGCTGCTTGTGGTGACCACCAGCCACTGCAGGCCGTTCAGGCCCGGTCTTGTGCAGCAACTAGAATTTGGAAGAGCGGTGGCAGCCTTTCACTCTGCATGAGCAGACACACTGGTAGGCACGGACACGGGTTCGGACCCAGACACCGCCCGCCCACCCTCTCCCCCCGCCCACGCATGCACTCGCGCACGCGTGCCCGCGCACCCGCCCATGCAAAAGGTCAATGTGGCGCGCTATGCTATGTCGTCTCACGATCTCGGATCAATTCCGAGCTACTGAAATGACTGTTGCTGAGCACTCTCGTCGTCGTTTGGGCTTATAGTGGCTGTTGTCAACGGTGTGCAGACCATTGCCAGACTCTCCTTCAGACCAGCAATCGCCGTGGTCGCCAGAACTTCATTCCGGTGAAACTTCCATAGAGTCCCCAGTCCCAGGTGAGTGAGCTCAAGGCTTCCGAGTGCCCTGGCATTCACTATTGTGCCTGAGTTCACGTCCGGTCGCTGGGTCGCTAGGCCCTAATCCTCTTCAAAGTCCATCGTGTACCTGCTGTGCTTAAGCTTTCGAGAGGTTGGCGAAGTTCGTTTTGCAGTCACAAAATGCCATGCCCTGCAGCTCCAATCCATGAGACACTCATGGATTTCGAGAGTACTTCCTAAGCCCGGATGCAAAAAAGGGTGAGCGGAAGCTGCTCGAGGGCAATCAGACGGACCTGTCTGCCGATCATAGAGGCTACCAGCATCCACGCATAAGGGAGAGACTGAGCGATACACCACAGACAAAGTCTTGAACGTAGGGTTTGGCCTACTCGCAAACTCGAGGCACTACAACAGCTACGTCGAAGATGCGCGTGTGCAGTCCTTGGAGAGTTCCCCTGAACCAGTGTCAGATTTCACAATCTTGCATCGGTTTTGATGGCAACAGCAGCCATGATCACAGCAGATCCTTGACAGCATGGCGACCCTGTTTGACATAATGACGGTTGTAGTCACAAGAACAACAGCAACACCAACGGGGAAATTAAAGGTCCGATATATATATATATATATTTATATTTATATATTTATATTTATATATATATGTATATCTCAGCAATAACGTTTAATTTTGTGGCCTGTCAATGTTGCGCGAGCGAGTATCGAGCTTAAGCCCCAGGCCAGGCAGAGCTGTCGAAGCTGCCATCTATGACTGTCAGCGGTCACCAGTGTTTCTGGATAAGATTTATATGAGCTCCAGGAGATAGCAGAGGCACGTCCGACGTGTTTCTGAGGCGATTGGCCTCAAGCCCATTTCGGGGGAGACCACGGAGCTGTTGCCCCAGAACAGCTACATCCTAAACCCTAAACCCTAAACCCTAAAACCCTAAACCCTAAACCCTAGACCCTAAACCCTAAACCGTGATCTGTTCTGCCATTTGCTTCGGCTCCGAGCTCCCGAGAAAAGTCTAACAAACTGAGTTTCGCCTTTGGGTTCTGACCTCAAAGCGCCCGAGGTTCTTCACATCCCATGAGGCCATGCAGCTTGATCTGGAGGACAGCCAGCCAGGTCCGAAGCGCTTCGAGTTCAGAGCAATTCGGGTTTGAAAGCGATGTGGAAGGAGTCTCTGACCCGACCGGTCGGCTCCAAGTTCTACAATCTCAGCGCGCACTTGGCCGGACCCTCACGAGATCCGTTCTGCCGGGATCCGTTTTGGGACGGGGTGGAGTTCCGCCAAACGCCACCTAGAGGCTAGACTTGAGCAGTGTGCTCCCGATTTGCCCACCGAAATCGCCCAAGGGAGAAGGGGAGAGGACCGGGCAACCATATATTTTACCGACAGCTTGAGTTGTTTCCCCCACAAGGCCCCGAAACAGGGGTGCATCCTGCGGTGCGGGGAGCCTGAACCGCTCCCTAGGCCCCGGAGAAGAAGAAGGAACGGGCCTGGCAACCATATCTCCCACTCAAACGAGTGTTGCCGTCATGGCTCCTTTCCCTGGGGCTTGCGGTTGCGGTTGCAAGGCCCTACAACCGCGGTGAGCCATTCGGGCTCGGGGGACGTCACATGTCCCGCGGCGAGAATAGAACAGAACATGAAGGGGGCGGCGAACTGTGCGGTTTGGGGGGACTGCCCTCAACCCAGGCCCCGAGCAAAGCAAAGGAAGAGCAAGTGAGCACAAGCGAGAGAAAGAGAGAGAGAGAGAGAGAGAGCGAGAGAGAGCGTTTCCAAGGCGAAAGAAAGAAAGAGCGTTTTCAAGTTTTCGAGCCTTGATTTAACTTTTCAGGGTTGCGGGTGCTTTGCAGCAACCTCATACCTCAATTCGCACCGACAACCCCAAAGCCTCTTCCCCACAAGCCAAATCGGGAGGGGGGCGCCTCGGCGCGGGTTAGCCACCGCTGCCCGAACCCATCGGAAGGAAGGAAGAGTTTTCAAGTCGCTCTCTCCTGGCGGAGGAAGTAGCCCTTTCCGGTCTTTAAGCTACAAGAAGGGTGTGCTCTGAGTGCAGGGGGAAGGGGAACCTTCTCCTCAAGCCCGTAGAAAGAAGGAAACAAAGAGACAGAGAATGTATGCACGCGATGGGCGGGGGGAGTTCTCCTGCTCTCTTGACTGTGGTGAAGAAGAACTCTCGCTGTCGAGGGGGCTGTTGTTCTGAACCCCGTAAAGTGAGAGCCATGCCTCAGGGCACAGGCAGGTGGGTAAGCTGGGAGGTGATACTTGCGGGGTAGTTCCGAAGCCGAAGTATGGGGGCTTCGTCGTTTTCTTCGTCGCGAGCCTCAGAGAGAACTCCAAAATGGGGCATGGAAGAAATCAGGTAGAAAAGCTTGCGGTGTGGCAGCACCCGAGTGGCTAGCCCACACGCGACGAGGTTCCTGGATCGATTGATCTGCTGGAGTGCTCGTCACAGCTTGGATGGCACACTTGTTGTTCCGTTTGTGTTGCAACTCAGAAAAACAGCAGTTCCATAGCAGACATTCGGCCAGCCATGCCCAACCGAGCTATTTGTGACAAAGTCACAGGAAGACTAGATGGAAAAAAACATGAAAATGCCTCGAACTGCAGCTGCTGGCGAGTGTTCGGGGGTCGGGGTGGAGGCATTCTCTTCCAGAGCTTTTGCTGGTAGCAAGCAAGCGCCCTGGGCACCAAGCCCGAGAGAGAGAGGAAAGGTGATTTCGAGGTGAATTCAAATGCCCAGAAGCTTTCTCGGAAGACACTTTCGCTCGTCGCGCTAGGCCGCTAGGCCAAAGATCACAGAAGGATTGGCCACGGGATACGCAAGAGCAAGCAAGCGAATGCACCAGAGCCAGACGAGAGACGGGTCGGGCCATTTTAGCAGATTCCGGTCCGACCCCGTGGTGTCAGACCAGGTCTGGATTGGTGACCGCACCAGGCAGCTTGACTGCGCCGGCTTCCCAGTTGGAAAGCGCGAGCTGCAGAAAAAAAAGCACTTGCCGAGATCACACGGACTCAGGATGCGCATGCAGCCACAGTGAGCTAAGGCGCATATTGAGTACTTCAGGGGAATTGCAAACCCCATCGGTGTGAAAGTCGGCCTTTACCTTACTCCATTGCTCCCTTGTGCTGTGCTCAAGTGCTTGAAGGAGGGTCTCATGAGCTTCCCAAGCCCACAGCAGTGTCCTTCAGCGAGGTCCCTCGATGAAGAATGACGAGCTGAAAGAGTTAGTCACCGCACCGTCCTGAGCCGATCGGAAGAAAGCCAGATGGGTCAAGCGCTTCTCGTGTCCGTTGCGAAAGCCCCACTTCTCCCCAGAGCCGGGACTCTCCTTGAATGCAGGGATTCTGCAGCTCCTCGGCCTAAGGTGCTGAATCCAAACAAGGAAGAGGGCAGGCCCCTGCCGGGCCACGAAGTTGTCACATGTAGGAAATCCGGAGATGCTTGGTAACCCTCGACTTGGTCGAGAACCGTGGACTTCTCTGATTCGTAGAGGCGTAGGACCTGTGCGCCGAAGCAGGCTCATGCTTATCACTCGCTATGGCGCTGGAAAGGCTGAGGAGTGATTGCCAGCTGCTGTTTTCAGTTGGTGATTCTGTGTCGTGAAATGTATTGGCTTGCCTTGGCCAGCGCGGGTCGGTGAATTTGGGGTAATTTGGGTTTCTGGCGAGGGTCCCTTTCACCCACAGCTGCCCACGAAACGCAAAAAGTCCTAGTACTCTGGTGCGAGTGCGTGCAGGCCATGCTGCCCGGCCACATCCAAGCAGCTGGTCGCTCAGCTTCCCAGGAGCGCGAGGTGCTCTGCTTTGCGAAGGGTTTCTGATGGTTTTCAGGTCAAAGACAGTGGGGTGCCTGTCGTATGGTCGCGGTCTGAGAAGAGAAGACGAGCGCGCGCTTGCCTCAGACGTTTTGTTTGCTTGCATCGCGATTGCACCTTGAGGCAATGTGATGGAGTCCATGGCAATGGAATCGTTGCCAGCAACAAATACAAAACACGCAACCTTGACGGCACAAAGCGGTTCTCTGTCGATTAGGGCAGGCAGGTCCTGTTCTGTCGGTCATCTAACAACTCCAAGCAAGGCACGGTTGTTCCGTTGAAGTGAGGCAGCTGGGACGCTATTGTGACAGAGATCGCAGAGGTGCCTGCTAGTTGTGGCAACACGAGGAAGCATGACCGACCGTGCTGCCCGCAAACAGCACAGCAGATCGCTGGTCCGTGCAGTGTCTTCAGGAACATATTACGAAACAGGCCAACCATGCGGGAATAGGTTGTTAGATCACTAGAGTGAATGCCCATTTCTCCTGAAAGCAAAGCGGCTGTGCCCCGGGCAAATCCATGGAGTCCCGAAGCAAAAAAAAATGCTCATTTCTCGGTGCTTCTGCTGCGTGAAAGCTGCAGAGATTTGGCTCAGCGATCGAGTTGCAACAATTTCCCAACCAGCGCCATGGCCGTGTCTTGTTTGCACTGATGAGCTTGCCGGCTGCGAACGTGGCAATTCGTCCGTCTGCCTAGAGGAAGTTTTTACCTGTGCTGCCAAGTGCTGAAGGTTAAGGTCGATCCTACATCACTGGCCATTGGCGTCGGGCCCTTGCTGCACTCGTAGACGCAGGTCGTTTGCGGAAGCAGGGTTGGAGGATAGCAGCGAGTAGCGTGTGCAGTTTAACTTTACTACTTCCCAGTTCGCTGTCAGAGTATGCGCACAATGTTGGCGAGTTACGGCCTTCAGCATGAGAGAGCTCTTGCCAGCTTACCCATGATGTGCCTTGGCCACTTTTGCTTATCTCCCTTTGCATGCCGGTTACATTAAGACCGCACAACAGAGACTCACCGATCATGATGATGCCCGTTTGATGATAGAATATGCTAGATGGATTCCCGAAGCTTCTGGAGCTGCGAAGTTTCTAGGTTGGCCTCGGTGCCGTTGCGGCTTTCCTCGTGGCGAAAGCAACGTTGAAGCCAACGCCGGTGAACCCGGGGATCGAAGCTTGCACGGAAATATGAGAACTCGTACATTCTGAGATCGTATGCCTGCTGGCGTCGTGGTCGCAGTGTAGTGTGCAGCAGTTGTATGCTTGTGTTTGCTGGTTGCCGACAAACGTCCATTTCGTTACAAGTAGTGATCGCGATGCTGTGGCGCGAGCATGCAAGCGTACGTGATGGACAGAAGGCATTGAACGGGTTTTGTAGGCTTGAGGCAAGCATGATGCGCTGCTGAGCCACGGTTTGGAGACTGCAGTTACTTTCCACGACAGTTCCTTGAAAGTCAGGAGCTGTGTAGCAACGAGTAGCTTTCAGCCGACCAGCACCCCCTGGTTTGTCTCACGACAAATCTCTGACCCGCGCACATATCCACGCCTCAGGACAAAGCATCCCCGAAAGTGGCAACCGCCAGAGCCTCGTCAGCTCATGTCTTGAATCAGATTCTCCATGTAAGAGAGGCCTAGCAGGCTGGATGCAACAAAGCTCTCTCTGTGTTTACCTGAATTAAAGGTCATGACTGTGAAGGACATCGAAGATGCGCTGAGCAAGAGCAACTTGGCCTGGTGCCAGAGATCTCCTGAGCCCAGGAAGTTCCAGGACTCTGGAAGGCTTTGGATCGCTTGAGATGCTTGAGTCTGCTTGAGTCGTTTGCAGGTTGGAGAACCAAACTTGCATTATGTTTGGCCAGGGGGCCACTTTGTGCAGGCATAGAATGGCATAGGATCATCCGAAGAAGTTCTTCTTGCATTTAAATTAGAGCGAATGAACACGCGGCACGGTGAAGCCAGCCACCTAATTATGTAGCACTTACCGCATCGCCATGTCTGTGTGTGGGATTACCTGCATGTTGTTGTGCTGCCCAAGCCGAGGCAGCAGTGGCAAAGTCGCCTTGTGCCGTAACTTGTCCCGCATCACGCACGACCGTTGTAGATGCCTTCTGGCCTGGTGACAGCACCTACCCAGAATCTTGGCCAGGTTGCTGGCGTAGCAGCAAATTCCCGCCACTCGGCGGAAGGCTGGCAGAAGGTCAGGGAAGGATTGCTGTTGGTAGGGCTGCTGAGAGTCATAACCGTCGCTAGTGCATTTTGTCAGCATTCTTTCCAGTGATGTGCTAGCCACTTGCCTGGACAACTGCTATGCTAGAGGCCTGCAGCACATCGTTCTACTTCCGAGTCGCTAAGGTTTTGCGATGGGTCGCACGGCAAGTACAACGAGGCAACTGCATGACTGCATCTGCTCCTGACTCGCTAGAAACAGTCGTGCGCTTGCGGAACTGCGGAAACTGTTCTTTTTCATCGAGGCAATTCTGCACGTAGCTTCTGAGCACAAGTTGTCATGCTTGAAACATGGTCAAGAACGGTTGCCACTTTCTGCACATGTCCAGTTGCTGTCATGTCTGTGAAGCAGGTGAGCTGCGCAGTCGTTAGAGTCCGTTAGAGCTGCCTGCTTCACAAGACGCGCAAATTAGTTCGGACATTTGCCTCGCAGCATGGTCCTGTCACGTGACTTCAGAGTTGTGATGGCTTGGAGCTCCAACATAAGTGCCTCAGCGCATTTGACGAACTAAGCTGGCCCGTCGGAATTCCGTTCTTGTTGATACCTCATGCCGACCCTTTCTAAGTAAGTTGGTGATGTCAGTTCCTCCACGCAGACCTGTGTGTGTGTGTGTGTCAGATTCAATGCTGTGCTTCTGGTTGCACATGCGCAGTCCCGGCTCGTTGCAAGAGCACTTGCATGACATCTTGGAAGCCTGCGATCTCTCGCAGGCTTGCTGTGACAACACCGGGCCCCTCGTGGTCTCCAAGGCTTAGGCGAGAAGTGCTTCGATCGACTGAGAGTCAGTTGGCAGACGAGGGCTTTCCCCAAAGCCTCAATTTCCCACCGAGCTGCTCGAAACTGTTCTAAGAAGCCGTGTTCATCAGGTTACACCAAGGACATGAACTGAAGCTAGAGATTGAGCCTAGCCACGACTTGCTTGTACATATGCTGCGCTCTCGCGCATGACGCGCGGTGTTTCGTGACAGATTGCTAGCTGCTAGCTCATGTACCATCAACATCGACATGAAGCTGAGCAGAGCTGCAGTGGCGAAGATGCAACCCACCTGCCGTGATGATTGCATTGCGCAAGCCTTTCAGCAGACCTGCAAGGAAAAACAACTGCGCATGCCTGTGATTGCCCGTGCGCTTGATTTTTCCTGGTTGTGGTGGACTATGGAACATGGCTGACAGTTGCACCTGGCAGTCTCGGATCGTTTAAATTGCTGCGATGCTGACTTGTTGGAGCAGCAGGAAGAAGGCATTCTTTGATTTCATGCTTCGGCACACGCCTTTTGTGCTGGGTGTCTGCCGCCTTTCAGGGCGAGATGTCGTAGTGAGGCAGCCATAGAGTGTTGTTCAGCTGGCAGTCCGGGCCCCAATCTCAGCAAGCATGGCGTCTCGGCGTCATTCAGATTTCGCCCGTGAACTACTTGAACCTTCCCGAGCCAGCACAGTGCAGTTTGCTCAGGTATTTTTTCACGTAGACGCAGAATGCTCCTGTTGGAGCTGGAGGAAGATGTCGGGGCTGACGCCTTTGGGTTGCCTGAAAGGCCTGTTGAACACGGGTTGTTGACACGAGTTGCTTTGACCATGGCAGCGCCGATGACAGGTTTGCTCAACGACCCGGACAGTCCGCAGATACAGACTCGCCGGCTACTGCCCTCACTCATCCGGCAAGCACGCTCCCGCAGCTTGCGACTGGCCGGTTGGGTGCACTTCAGATGTGGTACAGCCGTGCAAGTTTTGCGTTAAAGCGTGTCTCAGCTTGTGCTAATGCTCGGTATGTGTTGACTCTGTGGAAGACTCGTAGTCGACAGATACTTGACCTTGCCTTTGAGACAGATCGATGCCTGTCGCGTCGTGCAGTGCACGCGGAGCCTGACCCCTGACAGAAACACTCAGATGCGGCAGACGATTGATCAGCTTGATTGCGCGTTCCCGCAAAAGGTTGAGGGCTTCGTTCCCAATTTCATCGACCATGGCCGCATTGTGTATGATGCCAAAGTCGAAGATCGATACATCTTTGTTCCAGGACAACCCCGCATTCAATTGCACTCCACGGTAGATCGCTGTGGGATATTCTGCGGGGCAGGTGCGCATGTAGATACATCGCTGACTTTTGGGCAGGTTGATAGGATGGTGTGCTGATGAGCTTTGACTTATGACTTCGTTGTGGGCACCAGGAGAATCGCTGGGGAAAGGCAGCTTCGGAGAACCTGCAGCGGCAATAGGACTAGTGGGGCTCTGTTCCAGGGCGATGCAGCTGTGCTGCCGGTGACTGTCTCTCTGCGGGTGAGAGCCTCATTGCAAAGCCAAGGAAGTGAAGGCCGCAACAGACAGGTACACACGAGAGCGCCACGCAGTGAAATGCCCGGGCCCGAGCTTCTCCAAAGCGTTTCAAGCTGCTGTGCCCCCAATCCTATCTTAACTCATTCAATGATATTACTTAAGTCATTAGTCATTATTACATGCAGCAAAATCAGCAGAATACGCGCGCTTGACGGCGTGCTTTGTGCAAAGTCGCATTCTCCGCTTGATAGAGGTGCAGTTATCGCGAAGGAGGAGCTAGCAGAGGCTTTCGTGCAAGAGGCTGAGATGCATCTGACTCTAGGCTCAGACAAGGGATGTTGGATGCGGCTTCAACCAGACGTAATTTCATTTCGCACCTGCCGGACTCTGCGGCAGGGGTGTTGTTGGTCACTAGCTGCACTAGCTTCGGTTGCGGAGACATCTTAGGAAGCTGGACCACCCCAACGTCTGCAAGCTTCTCCAAGTGCACCTTGCCTCTTCGTGCGTAATCAGCGGCGCAGGTATGCTCGGAGCAGCGAGACAATCACAGCTGAGGTATGTGACCGAAGGAGCATGTCACCTAGCCTGGACCTCAAGTTTACGTGCCAACACTGCGCGCGGAGACACTTCCCAGTTCGCTGAACACGGACTTCGGAGTCCGATAGCATCTCAAGTGATCATCACAGCAGCTGTTGCACGAGTTGCTGTACAGCTTACAGATGCCACCAACGGGCCTCACAACCAACACTGAAAGGCAATATGCTCCGGGTGCTTCGTTCAAGTTTTCACAATTGAACTATGAGCTTGGTTGCTGAGGGAGGTTCCAGTCGCACCCGTGGCCCGACCTACCACGAAACAGCATCTGAAATGCCCGTGAGTGCAGTGAGTACACCTTTGGAAACGACTTGTTCAGGTGGAGCTGGGGAAGTGCATTCTAGGCCCTAGGCCAGTCGAGGCTTCTAGGCAGTGTCTTGGTGCGAGCACAGAGGTGATGGAGCTATGTGCTGGAGGCGAGCTGTATGATCGCTGGGCTGACAAAGGCCGAGAAGACGGTGTCAAGCAAGATGAGCAACAGCAGCCTTTAGCAAGCTACTTCAGTGACAGTGCAAGTGACCGACGCTATGAAAGTTCGCTTGCTTAGCCACATGGCCCGTGGGGTAT